AGAAAATTATGTTAAGTGAAATAAGCCAGACAAGGAAAGAGAAATACCACATGTTCTCACCATAACTGAGTGCTAAGAAGGAAGGAAGTAAGGAAAGAAAAGAAAGAAAGAAAGAAAGAGAGAGAGAGAGAGAGAGAGAGAGAGAGAGAGAGAGAGAGAGAAAGAAAGAAAAAAAGAAAGAAAGAAAGAAAGGAAGGAAGAAAGAAAGAAAGAAAAAGAAAAGCAGACAGAGAGGACAGAAGTTAAGAAAGACATCGCACAGGGATTCTTGAGCCCTCCTGGGGGTAGGATAACGGAGGTGAGAATGGTGAGTTTTTCTGAAAGCAAACCTCCTAATAACACAGGAATCAGGCGCTGGTAAACGAGGCAGATGACCAAGGTAGAAAAAGGATGCTCTAACAGTTTAGGTGTGTAGAAAACAAGCGTTTTGACAAATGAATGAAGACCGACTCCTGGCGTGGAGCTAAAGACACGTCAGCGCAGAGCGCGAGGGGCGGGGCTGAAGCGGCGCCCGCGGCGGCCCCGAGCAGCAACCCCGGCTTGCCGGGCGGGGGGGGGGCTGAAGCGGCGCCCGCGGCGGCCCCGAGCAGCAACCCCGGCTTGCCGGGCGCTCGGAGCGCAGGCGTGTCGCCGCCGCCCCCCTCGCCGCCCTTCTCGAGCCGAGGACACCAGCTCCGGCCACCCCTGCAGGCGTGGGTCCAGGGCCGGAGGAGCGAGGTGGCCCGGGCCACGCGGGGTCTCTCCCCGGCAGGCGCTGCGGCCTCCGGTAGGAGCCAGGGTTGGGGGAGAAGGTGGAGGGAGGCCGGCTAGGTGGACGCGGGCCCCAGCAGCCTGAGCCGCCGCCTCCAACTCCAAAGTTGCGGTCGCTGGCGTCTCCTTCCTGGCCAATCTCGGCAGCCCACTCCCCTCGCCTCACCTCCCGGGCCGCCTCGAAGCAAGACGGTGGCGGGGAACACGAGCAAGAGAAGCAAAAGCAGGCGGGGGAGGAGTCTCATGGCGCGGCCGGTCCAGTGTCCAGTCCCCGTCCGCGAGGGCTCTCGGCGGCTCCGGCGGCAATGGCGTTACTCTTCATCCGGGCTCCGGGCGGGGAGAGGCGGTGCACGTACCACGCACGGGCCTTCGCCACGCCCCTCCCCTGACCGAGGAACGCCGCCGACGTGGCTGCTGGGCGTGGGGTGGCGAGAGCCAGTCCCGGGAGTCACGTGGCCACTTCCTTGGTCTCTGATGTTCCCGCGAGAGTCCGCCTCCCGCCCGTAGTCCTGGGGTGGCGACTTACTGTTATCCGCCAGTTCTGCCCTCCCCACTCCTCCAATTAATTAGCGTCGTTCGTGGTTACTTTATTTGAATGACGATCCGCTTGGTGCACAGAGCGTTAAAATCTTTGCATAATTTGAAGTAACTGATATAGAGAGTGTGAACTGCCTTTAGGTGGCATTTAAAAGCAAAAAGAGGGCCGGCCGGTGGCGCACTGAATAGTGCGCCGCTTGAGAAGCGCGGAGGCGCTCCCGCCCGAGGGTTCGGATCCCACATACAGACCGGTTCCCGCTCACTGGCTGAGCGAGGTGCGGGGGCGACGCCGAGGGTTGCAGTCCCGTTGCCGCCCCGGTCCGGTACGGGGGCAACACTGAGGGTTGCGATCCGTTGCCGGACACGGAAAAAGACAAAAGACAAAAAAAAAAAAAAGCAAAAAGAAATTGTGGGATAACATTGCTCGAAACACACACACACAAAAAGTACACATTGGAAAATCTCTGTTCCTCTAACTGCCCATACCCTCTCCTATAGTTAAGTAATGACAGTTCTGAAAAATCTTAGGTGACATTCCAGAGTTAAAAATCACCTAAAACGGTGCCTGGCATTTAGTAAGCATTTGGTAACTATATAATGGGTGCAGCAGTGACTGTACAATTTTCTTTTGTTTCCTTCTCATCTATTTTGGACTAACAGGTTGCTGCAATAATCTTGTATTTCATGCAATCAATCTGAATTCCAGGTAGTGTTGGATTGAACCAGTCTGAGATGTCATATACATGATGAAACAAATCACTGTGCTTTCATGTATGAAAGGATTCCTGTAAAGGCAGCTTGTGGCTGTTGCTGCCACCGTATACTTCTGCCTGCTAAAGCCACAACCTAATAGTGCTGGACTGAATCACCTCAGCTCCACTTGCCAGACCACAGTGCTGCTGCTGCTGCTGCTACTAGGGGGCACCCTGCAGAAGTGGAGAGCCTCCCCAAGAGGGCATCCTCCCACTTTGCTGCTGCCTCTGCTCTTGTGCACGGCTACCAAATCTGCCAATCTGTGCCAAAGCCACCAGGGCTGATGACCCTGCTTTGATGTGGCTGAACCTTGCAGAGTTCTCCACTGACAGGAAGAATCTCCCTCCCCTACTTTGAGGCACTTTGTTTCATGAGTTTCAAATAAGACCTGCTCTGAGCTCCTAATATCTGATAGGTTTTTTGACAAATACATCCTTCTATTTTAACTTGCTGCTTTTTCCTAACACCAGAAAGAAATTGACAGGGACTGCAATAGAAGGTGAAATTACAGATGTCATGCTGACTCCAGAGTCACCTCTGCTCTATCTCTGTCCCAAAGGTGTCTCACTGATTCTTCTCTCTCTTCACAGGACTGATTTCCAATGTGGAGGACTTCTCATTCCTTATGAGAAGAGATTAAAGAGGTTAAAGAGATTCCTAGTACGTCTGTCTCACCAGTTCTCAGGACATAGCCTGAGCCTGTGAGGATAGTTTAGTTTCGGCTTAAGCTGGGACTTCCACTCCAGTGATGTATGTCATCAAACGATTACTAATGGATTTTATTAGGGACTCGAATTTTAGTCAGCTACTAAAGGTGCAGCAGAGACAAAATATGCCTGTTCTTGATATTACTGATGTGATGAATTTAGGGAAAATAAAAACATACATACAGAGAAAAAAGAGACCTGAGTGACTAGTATAAAAGCAGTAGCCTATGGATCAGGCAAGTAAAATACTTGCCCTAATCTGAGTGCTTACAAATTCTGTGTTATTGTGATCAACCTTCTCCCCACAATAAGCAGCTTTCCCTTGGTGCCCACCCAGAGCTCTCCCCTCTCATTGGTTCCAATCTTTAATTTATGGAATTAAGAATTACATCTACTAATTTATTTAAGTCCTCCCAAATATTTCCCCACATTTTACTCTCACCTCTGCACCTGTCTCTTTGAAGGTATTTATTTTCCAGAATAGTACACATCCTGGTTTCTCTCATTCATCCTGGTTACTCACAGGCAAACACACAGTTGATTCTCCACTTTTGTCTCCTGTCTGTGAACACCTTGCAGCCAGGGGGCTTTGTGCTTCTGATTCAATGTTACAGAACAGTGCCTGACACCCAGAGGGAACTCTAAATATTTGTTGAATCAATGAAGGTACGGTATTGTTATAAGTCACATCTTTCCTCCATAAATCTGAGCCCAGGTTTGAATGGAAACCTAATAAGAAATGGAAAAACATTGAGCAAAAAACCTCCAAAAAGTAGTTTATATATTTTATGCAAGCAAAGACTGAAGTGCTCTCTCACCTAGCAAGTGCTGGAGAAAAAATTAGGTTCTTGTTCTATACCTCTGAGAAAAAAATTCTCCTGCGATCCTTATAGAAAGGGGGCACTATGAGAAAATGAAACAAGGGGCCGGCCCGGTGGCGCACTGCTACAGTGCGCCGCTTGGGAGCACGGCAGCGCTCCCGCCGAGGGTTCGGATCCCACATACAGACCGGTTCCCGCTCACTGGCTGAGCAAGGGGCGGGTGCAGCACCGAGGGTTGCGATCCCGTTGCTGGTCCTGGTCCGGTACGGGCGCGACACTGAGGGTTGCGGTCCGTTGCCGGACACGAAAAAAGACCAAAAGGAAAAAAAAAAAAAAAAAATGAAACAAAATAAGGGAGACTTTAAAAGGAGTGCTGGCTCTCCAGCCTAGCTCCTCGTCTATAAGGAGGGCCTCGGTCCTTGCCCAGCTCAAGCTTCTCTACAAAGAACAGATGAAACCCAAACCACCTGCTCACTCACCACAAAACCCACCACCTACCTGCACCTGTACACTAAGGCTCTGCCCTCCTTACTGTTACAATGAAACGATGTTTATAGGCACATCAGGACAGCCACCATTTGTGGCTTAGATCCCATCTGCTGCTCAGAGACATGTGGTTCTGAAAATAGCACTCTTCTATAACTCACAAGCAAGTTCTTCTCTAATCCACTGCTCCCATCAACATACAAGTATACTGTAATTATTGCCCCCCTTAAAAAACAAAACTCTCCCTAGGCCTCTATTCCCCTTCAGCAAGTCTTGTGTCTCTGCTCTCTGACACAACAAAACCGCCTCGGTCCTTGCCCAGCTCAAGCTTCTCTACAAAGAACAGATGAAACCCAAACCACCTGCTCACTCACCACAAAACCCACCACCTACCTGCACCTGTACACTAAGGCTCTGCCCTCCTTACTGTTACAATGAAACGATGTTTATAGGCACATCAGGACAGCCACCATTTGTGGCTTAGATCCCATCTGCTGCTCAGAGACATGTGGTTCTGAATATAGCACTCTTCTATAACTCACAAGCAAGTTCTTCTCTAATCCACTGCTCCCATCAACATACAAGTATACTGTTAATTATTGCCCCCCTTAAAAAACAAAACTCTCCCTAGGCCTCTATTCCCCTTCAGCAAGTCTTGTGTCTCTGCTCTCTGACACAACAAAACTGCTCTCCCAAGTGAGCTAACTGGCCCAATCCCTACATAGGGATCTGAACCCATGGCCTTGGTGTTATCAGCACCACACTCTCCTGAGTGAGCCACGGGCCGGCCCAATTAAGGTTTTTTTTAAAAGATGACCAGTAAGGGGACCTTAACCGTTGGCTTGGTGTTGTCGCTCTCCCAAGTGAGCTAACTGGCCCAATCCCTACATAGGGATCTGAACCCATGGCCTTGGTGTTATCAGCACCACACTCTCCTGAGTGAGCCACGGGCCGGCCCAATTAAGGTTTTTTTTAAAAGATGACCAGTAAGGGGACCTTAACCGTTGGCTTGGTGTTGTCGCTCTCCCAAGTGAGCTAACTGGCCCAATCCCTACATAGGGATCTGAACCCATGGCCTTGGTGTTATCAGCACCACACTCTCCTGAGTGAGCCACGGGCCGGCCCAATTAAGGTTTTTTTTAAAAGATGACCAGTAAGGGGACCTTAACCGTTGGCTTGGTGTTGTCGCTCTCCCAAGTGAGCTAACTGGCCCAATCCCTACATAGGGATCTGAACCCATGGCCTTGGTGTTATCAGCACCACACTCTCCTGAGTGAGCCACGGGCCGGCCCAATTAAGGTTTTTTTTAAAAGATGACCAGTAAGGGGACCTTAACCGTTGGCTTGGTGTTGTCGCTCTCCCAAGTGAGCTAACTGGCCCAATCCCTACATAGGGATCTGAACCCATGGCCTTGGTGTTATCAGCACCACACTCTCCTGAGTGAGCCACGGGCCGGCCCAATTAAGGTTTTTTTTAAAAGATGACCAGTAAGGGGACCTTAACCGTTGGCTTGGTGTTGTCGCTCTCCCAAGTGAGCTAACTGGCCCAATCCCTACATAGGGATCTGAACCCATGGCCTTGGTGTTATCAGCACCACACTCTCCTGAGTGAGCCACGGGCCGGCCCAATTAAGGTTTTTTTTAAAAGATGACCAGTAAGGGGACCTTAACCGTTGGCTTGGTGTTGTCGCTCTCCCAAGTGAGCTAACTGGCCCAATCCCTACATAGGGATCTGAACCCATGGCCTTGGTGTTATCAGCACCACACTCTCCTGAGTGAGCCACGGGCCGGCCCAATTAAGGTTTTTTTTAAAAGATGACCAGTAAGGGGACCTTAACCGTTGGCTTGGTGTTGTCGCTCTCCCAAGTGAGCTAACTGGCCCAATCCCTACATAGGGATCTGAACCCATGGCCTTGGTGTTATCAGCACCACACTCTCCTGAGTGAGCCACGGGCCGGCCCAATTAAGGTTTTTTTTAAAAGATGACCAGTAAGGGGACCTTAACCGTTGGCTTGGTGTTGTCGC